GGGGATGGTGAAAAATGAGGAAGAAAGTGAATAAATGAGGAAGAAAGGTTTAATTAGCCATTACATGTTGTTAGGTGGGGACCTTTTGATAGATTTTTCAGTCATTACGCGCGCAATAACAAGTTATTACACACGGGTTGCCAAAAATATAACGAGGGTGTTTCAATATGATGGAAAAAATTGTTTAGGGGGGTTTTGGGGACACCAGATAGTTTAGCAGGAAACTGACAAAAACATGATAGTTTAGGGGATTTTTAGGGTATTAACTCATTAATAAATATGTACTTTACTAATTTGTACTGGAACGCACTTGTAATCAACTCATTTTACGATTATTCTTTTAATTCAAACTTTTTTGCCTAATAATCTAAGAAAGTGGAAAATAAAATTATATCTCTACTAGATAAATAAATACTTAGCATATTTTCTTTTCTATAAATAAATATTCAGTTCTATACTGCAATATAGGTAGACAAATCAAATAATTTTTTAAAACTTTTTTCATATAAAAATATTCCTCAAACAAGATAAAGTGATGGAATAGTCATGAGGGTATTTTTGTAAACAAATAATTCTTTTAGAAATTATGTGATACTTTAATATATCAAACTAAATAATGAATAAGAAAAATATAACATAACTAGTACCAGCATTACAAATAAATCCTATCATAGTATTATTCTTATGCGCCATACCAAAGAGCCCAAGTAGCAGTAACAATCATTGTGAAAAAAAAATGATTAGTAGTAAGTAATCATGAATTTAAAATTTTAAATCCTTGCGCGAAAAACCCCTCATTTCCTTGTGAGTTTATATTGTGCTAGGTGAGTGAAAAAACCCCAAGGGTCGTTTAACGTAATTTCTGAGTTTGGCTAAAAGTCGTAGTTGCCCTTCTTTGCACCGAGTGTGCTCTCTCGTCTCTACCCCGCCGCTCTACTATCTACTAAGTCATTCATCATCACCTCTCTGTTTTTACCAACTTCTCCATTGTTGCTAGTAAGTTTTTACAAGCAACTTTTCCCCTTTTTCTATTTTATTGTGTCGCCTGTTGTATTTAATTCTACTTCATTCATATTTCTAGTTTCTTCGTGAGATTGTGTTATGTTTAGGAATTAGCATATGTAATTCAAACCTCAAAGGATCTTTATGTATTTGTTAGAACTTGTTCTCAATGAATTAACATGGTTGTGAGTTCACTTTGAAGTTCACCCATTTGCCTATGTGGCGTCAAGGTCAGAATCTTCTGCGGCGAGCCTCACCGATATTAATTGTTCTCCCTCATTCATCAAACTCTAGCTACGGAATCAGACAAATTATTACTGGTTCAGCTTCATCATCAAGCCCAAGTGTGTCGATATGGAGGCGCAAGAAAGAAATGGGAAAAGAAGGTTTAATGGTTGCCAAGGAGCTTAAGCGCTTGCAATCGAACCCTGTCCGGTTTGAGAGGTTCATTAAGTCCCACGTTTCTCGCCTTCTCAAATCTGACCTTGTAGCTGTTCTTGCTGAGTTCCAAAGACAAGATCTTGTTTATCTCTCCATGAGGGTAAATTTTTTTGGCTATCAATATTTCGAATTTTTGTTACTACTTTTTTTGTCATAAACTTGCTTTTTTGTTGACGTACCAGAAATGGAAGGGAAAAAAAAACAAGAGTGGGAATGATAAATATTTAGTTGTGCGTAATTCCTCAGAACAAACTTTAGTTTCCATGTTCTTTGGAGATTCCGAGAATTGGAGAAGGATATGATGATTTTTGTTTTTTGTTTTCATTTATGATGATTTTTGTTTTTTGTTTTCATTTAAAAAAAGAAAAATTGTGGGTTTAACTTTAGGGTCACTGTGTACTGGGGAAAATGGTTGATTATGTTAGTTGGAAAGTTGGTAAGCTCAAGTCCTGTTAAACTCTTGCTTTATTCGAAAGTAACTCTTGTAACATCCACTTGTTGCTGTACTATCATATACTTCTTTGACAAAATTTAGCATTATGTTCGACAATGTTGATCACAAGTGTGAATACTGATTCCTGCTTGGAATATTTTCAATTTGACTTCGATGGTTTATTCACCATAATTAAAAGAAATGTGATGTGGATATGCGAAGTGTAAAATTGTGATGTTGTGCATTATACGTGTTTCTTCTTACATTTACTTCCTATTGTTCTCTTTAAGTGGTAATTCTAGAGTAGAGCAGGGAAACATTTGCCGAGATTGAAGATATCCACTTTCGTTGATCATTTATGCAATGCTTATACTGTTGGCCATCACACTTAATTTTGCAGTTGTACGAGGTTGTTCGCAAAGAAATATGGTATAGGCCAGACATGTTCTTTTACAGGGATATGCTTTTCATGCTTGCAAGAAACAAGAAGGTAGATGAAGCAAAGAAGGTATGGGAAGATTTGAAGCAAGAAGGAGTGCTTTTCGATCAGCATACATTTGGTGATCTTGTCAGGGCTTTTCTAGATGGTGGATTACCTTCAGAGGCAATGCACATATATGATGAAATGAGGCGCTCTCCTGATCCTCCTATGTCTTTACCCTATCGTGTTATACTGAAGGGTTTACTTCCTTACCCAGAACTGAGGGGAAAAGTGAAGGATGATTTTCTGGAACTGTTCCCAGATATTGTAGTTTATGACCCACCTGAAGATTTATTTGATGAAGAAGAATGGAGAAAGGAGAGCGAGGATCATTAGAGTATGCTGTTGACTTGAATTTTCTCAATGGCATTTAGGATGTCCGCTGTACAAGAAGATAGTGGAATAGTAAATGTGGAGTGCTTTGGCAGCAGGTTGAGCAATCCTTTATGCTGCTGAACAGATGAGTGCTACCGATTTTGAGAATTTGAAATGTGACCCAGGAAAACCGTGCAAAATTAAAAGTTAATGCGCAGGTATGAAACTTACCCATAATATCCAAACTGAAGTTGGTTGAATGCTAGCTTCTAATGAAGTGGATATATCATTTTCTGCAATTTGTGTTGGAAGAGAAGCTGCCAACTTTCTCCTTATTACGGTTCACTCCGATCAAAAAGTTAATGAATGCCTGCAGTTGTTGAGGCTAGCCATTATCACCATCTCATTTAGTTATTCTTATGAGATGGTGAATGTCAGCATAAATGCTCCCCCAAATAAATTAATATATGCTCATCATCCAAATTATTGGTTATGGTATCCTGAATCTTCAGAACAATCTGGTTTCTGCAGTACCGTTTTTGAACTCTAGCAATATTCTCATATAGTCACATCATGTAATTGAGTTTTGATCTTCACGTGATTGAAGTATCAAGCTATGTGGTCATTATATAGCATTTGGTCACGTCACAGGGTTCAATATCTTCAGGCTTACATTTCTTGCTATCATCTCTTTAGGGCCTTTTGCTATATCCTCTGTCAAGGTATTCTCCCTAAAAAGTGCTGATTCTGTGAGATTTTGGCTTAGGTGTTTTAAATGTGACAATGGTATATTTGTTGCTGTGGAGTTGTTTCCGAGATAATGGTTCGGCCTACAAGTACCAGAAAGAAAATTGAAGAACCTAATTCATTTTGAGGCACTGATTTGTTAGTCTAAGAAGTGGAAGGGAATTCGTTGAGCGTTTGGGCCGTTTGGCTGTTCCAGTTTCATGGTTCCAGCTTCAATTACTGTTTGTTGTTTCGGAACAAGCCAGAGATATGATGTTTTCTGATTCACTCGAGCATTGACAAAACCAAATTTCTTCTGTGTTCGGGGTGGAGACTCTTTCGGGATGGTCTAGAACTTTGAGATATGTGCCATTGCCTTCGAATACTTATATCATATTTGCTATACTTGGTTGGGATGAAGAAAGTGGAACTGAACATATGAGCAACGGTATTGTTATCCTATATTTGTTTGGGGCGAAGAGATAGAAGATGGGAGGAGAGGAAGTAAAAAATGAGGATTCTAGGTAACTTTTTGTTTGCAAGTAAATGAAGAGGGAAGATGGAGTTGGACTAAAATAAGAAGAAATGAAAGACAAAAATAACAAGGTTATTGTCAACTTGCTGAAAAATGTAGAACAATGAGTTCATCTTTCCTTCGCCGGGGCCCCGTTGCTGGACTAATCATAATGTTAGAAATGCACGTAACTTATTTTTACTTGGTTGTAGGTAGACGTGTTCGTCGGTCGGTACGATATTTAGACATTTCGGTTCGATATTTTTGGTATTCAATTTCTTAAAATGCTATAACAATACCGTACCTAATTAAATTCGGTATGATTCAATTTTTCTCCTTTTCGGTTTCGGTTTCTTCGGTTCAATAATTTCGGTTTATTCAGTGTGAATACTAACTAGTGTGTAGAGTCATAAATTATAATATTCTTAATTAAAGTACTCAAAAATACAAAATTAAAAACGTTTGTTGATAAAAGTTTTGTCCAAAATCAACAAATATCAACAAAGAGAGGAATAAATTTGATCATTAGAAATGTCTTGTTACTTTTTTAGAGTTAATTGATGAACTTAGAGAATAAAGGAAAGCAGAATTTTAGATTTTTTTATAATTATGTTATAATTAATAATGTGTATATTGTGCAATATAATATATATTTTGGTACGGTATCAGTATTTCTTTTTAAAATTTAAATACCATACCTAATACCAATTTGTTTTTAAAAATTAAACAAAATATCATACCGAATACCAAAATATCAAATACCACATACTAAAATTTTGGGTTTCGGTACGGTAATTCGATATTTACCGAATTATGCACCAAAGGACTAGTTTTTAGGGGTTCAGAAAAGGAGGGCGTTATAATTCAACACTAAACCTTTGCAATTTCAATAAAATAAAATAAAATAATATACTAGATTTTGGAAATGACCCAATCCAACAACCCAATTTGGCTGCCATTAAAAGTAAATAAAATGAAAAAGAGAAAAAAAAGGAAGAAAGAGCGAGAGAAGAAAAAGGATAGACGTTAATTGAGTTGAGTTGAATAAAGAAATGCATATGGTACACATGCGTGTTAATGACCAATGTGAAGGGGGATGGGTATAACGTCTTAAAATATCTCACTCCAATCCTACGTACCTACCATTGGGAGGAAAAAGTAAAAACCCTACCTACCAAGCTTCATTACATGCTAACGAAATAAATCGAGTATGATCCCTTAAATTTGGAATTAGATTTATCTTAGTCTTTCTTATGGAACACCAACTTAAGCTCAAGTTTTGGTATAACTATGTCAAGAGACTCGAGTAAGTACTTTTGATCATTGCTTGCGAGGATGTTACCAACACATTATCATTATAAGCTAATTATATATGCCAATTAATCTTTCCATAGCACATCATAGCTAAACCGAATTGACAACAAGATTAGTAGATAACCCCACCAAGCTCAAGAAACAAAATTTTCCATTTTTAGTGTTTTAAGACAATTTTAGATCAGCGTATATAACTAATAAATTATACTTAAAAATAAAATACTAATGTCAAACATAAAATATTGCCCTATATGTCAACTAACACCCTGTTTGGATCATTGTTACCTATCGTTTTATAATGTATTGTATTGTATTTTATTGTATCGTATCATTTTATGAATACAACGTTTGGATAAATTGTATTGTTTGCTATTGTTAAATAACATTTTGCTATTTGGTTTGACTGTATCGTATTGTACTGTTACTGATGAGTTTACTAAAATACCCTCAATTATTTAAATATTAAATTTATCAAGAATTACACATAAAAATAATTTAAGAAAATATCGTTCTACTACTTTATCACCAAATATGTCTTATAAATAGATTAAACAATTAAATTCATGCAAATTCTAAAAAATAATTAGTGGAACAAGTTAATAATATTAAAATAATAATAAGTACACTCCATTCCTAACTAGATCATAATAATAATAAAACAAAAAATAAAAATATTAAAGAACTATGATAAAGAAATGAACGAGAATTGGTAGAACAAAGATAATTAGAATTGGAGATAAAATCAAATTAGGAGAAAAAACGAAACAAAAGAAGGCAAAACACATTTGATGTTACAGTTGGAAGCGATATAAATTCTGAAAAAAAAAGGGACGAAGACAAAATAGGTTATATGTTGGAGATTTAGAGTTAGAATAAATAAATAAAAGGTAAAATAGAATTATGGAATAATAAGTTAGGGCATAATTAAAAAGAAAAAAAGAAAATAATTTCACCACACAAAATCATTTATTTTAAAAAAATAAATTTTTTTATTATTTCGAAACAATAAATTTAATAATACATTACAACAAATTATAATTAAACAATCAATACAAATATTATAATATATTAAGACACAACGAACAACCATCCAAACAACATGTATGACGAGAATAGAGCACATAATCTTATCTTTAGGAACAAAATTGCAGCTGACATGAAAGCAGCGGCCAACAGATGACAAAGTTAAAGTTAGCCATGTCCATGTACAAAACCCGAAAATGAATCAGCAACTTGTCGATAGATAGAATCATAAAAATAAACATAAATTTGGATCACACGTTTTATTCATTTCAATTTCAACTAGCATGAATCCAAATACACGTGTCATTGTAAGCGTTGAATATTCACCCTGCACCACTACTATACATTTTCTCTTCTGTTTCCTCTAATCTCTATTTTTCCGATTCCTACTCCGCCGGAGAAACAATGACGGCGAATCTCCTCCGATTCTCCCTCGCACCTAATCACAAACTCACTTCCAGCTTCAGTCACTCCAATGTCAACCACGAACGACGTCGTATCAACGGCCATCACTTCAATCCTTTTATCCACGAACGACGTCGTAGCAGTCAGCTACTGCTGCGGCGCAATGCCGTATTCGCGAAGGCTGTTGAGTTTAAAGCTCCGGCGAGCGGAACTGAACAGCAGCAGCAGTTGAAGAAAGATGAAACGACAGTACTACTCGACGTAAGCGGGATGATGTGTGGCGCGTGTGTCACACGCGTCAAGTCGATCCTCTCCGCCGACGACCGAGTTGACTCGGCTGTGGTCAACATGTTGACCGAGACAGCTGCGGTAAAGTTGAAACCGGAGGCCGGTGAGAGTTTTGCGGCCGCTGAGGAGTTAGCTCAGAGGCTGACCGGATGTGGTTTTCCGACGAAGAAGAGGTCGTCGGGGTTAGGAGTAGATGAGAAGGTGAAGAAGTGGAAGGAAATGGTGGAGAAAAAGGAGGCATTGCTTGTTGAGAGTCGAAACAGAGTGTTTTTTGCTTGGTCTCTGGTCGCTTTATGCTGTGGAACTCACGCTACTCATATATTGCACTCTCTTGGCTTTCATATTGGTCACGGTAACAAGCACAAAATGCAGATTTCATTTCTTTTTACAATGAAATCTGAAGCTCAAAGAATTATATCCTCTTAGTGAGTGAATGACATTCTTGCTAGTTAATTACAACAAGGATTTGAACATTTGATTTAACCGTTGTAAGAAATGTTAAAAAGAGACAAATACTTTGTTTTTATGTTAAAATATTTGGAAATGATTCCTGATTAACTCATAGAAGTACATCCGATTACCATAATGCTCAATATTACACTGCTTTTTTCGAAATTATTTCTACTTCAGCTTGGAAACATCTGTAGGAAAAGCCAAAAAGCTAGTATTGGATGAAGTTTTATGTTCTGGATAACTCAAACTAGTTGACAAAAATTGGTACAGGTTCAATGTTGGATGTACTGCATAATTCTTATGTCAAAGCTGGATTGGCAATAGGGGCTTTACTTGGACCTGGACGAGGTTAGTCGTTACTTGTTTATTCGATTCTCTTTCTTTTTCTTTCTTTATTAGCAGTTACTTTCTACTCTCTTTATGTTCTTCTTTTCTTATTTTGTTTAATTTTGGGTTATTTTGTCTAGTTAACTATGGAAGTTGACTAAATCAAACAAGTGTTATTGTGTGATTATATTTGCTTTCCAATTTTCTCTTTTTTTCCTTGCTAATTAAGTCTTTAACGAGATTCAATAGCTTAAAGTTGTTGTGAGTAGTATAAAGAACCCTTTTTCAATTCGCAGGTACTAAGTGTATGTGGAAATAGAAAAACTTCTCATTGACTTAATTAGCAATGTACAACATGTGCTCCTTATATATAAGTCTTAGGCTATATATAATATGATTGGTAATCAATCGCTATACCACTAAGATAAGTAAATATTTTATAATACTGTAATTAAATATAAAATATCCCAAGTCATCCTATAAAATGTTCTATATGATTTTCGTTATTCAAGATAGACAGATATTCACTTGATATTCTAAAGTGGAGAAGCTGGCTTGAATTTTCTTATTTTGAAAATATAGAAAGTTGGCGCCGAAATCTCGCTAGAGTGGTGCACAATCACCAACAAAAAAAAATTGATGCTGAAATTCTTTCCACCGAAACATTGTTGCCTCGCCGGTACATGCACAACGAAAGAAAGTGCGTCTTGCACTACACATGGAAAGAAATCTATTCTCAATCACCGCAAAAAGATATCGAAAATCTCCAGAACATTGTCGATGTAACTTGAATTGATAGAACACTGATAAGAAATTCAAAGTTTAGAAGAGGGCACCTGTCGCGTAAAAAATAGCTGTGCTAGTCGCCGGAGAGATGGATGACGCTCGAACGATCATAAAGAGAGGCGTGGCGCCAGAATGGTCAGGCACACATTGGCGGAGGGGCATGGTCGAACACCTAAGGAAGAAGAAAAGAAGAAAACATTGGTCCGGGAGGAGGCACACATTGGCTTGTAACACTCGTCAGTAGCAGAAGTTATTTGAATCAGTACCATGACCATAGAGGCTCTGATATCATGTGACAATAGAAAAGCTTCACATTGACTTTATTAACAATGTAAATAGATGACAGTCTAATTACTCACAAAAAAAAAAAACATGTACAAGAGATGCTCCTTATATAAACAATCTTATACTATGTATTCTTTTGATGGAGAGAGTCTCAGACTATGTATAATATGGTAGGAATCTATTCATATACT